AGCAGGTGGCAGGGGCTGTCCCCATGGCTCAGAGCATCCTCTGGCCGTGGTCATGGCCTTGGCCAGATCCTGCTTCCCAACCCTGCTCCTCAGCAGCCACCCAAGGGTGCGCTGAGCTGAGCTGGGTCTCTGCTCCAGGGCACTGCAGTGACCGATGCAGCATCAAGCTCTTAATGGGATTTTGGGGGACGCGTGTTCTATGTGGTCCTGTTTAACTATCCCTTCCCTCTGGGATCTGCAGGCTTAACATGCCTTGCTCTCCAGCCTGAGCTCGCCATGGAAAGCCAGTGGAACAGCAGCTGCCCCCTCCCATACATCAGCAGCAGGGATTTGTTGCTCCCTCTTTGGGAAAGCCTCAGCACTTGTCCTTGGCCTTGGGGTGCCCTCACATGGCCCCCCTCAACTCAGAGCTGCCCCGAGGCTTGGGCACAGGGCTTTCACCTCACTGGGGGGAGCAGCCCCCCTGCTTTAGGGGTGCATCCACTTCCTAAGGGCACCACATAGCCTCTGGGACACAAGCCATGGGCAGGCAGGTCCCCAGCTCTGCCCATCACCCTGCCCTGGCTGGAGGGTGCTGCCTGCACCAGGAGCCTGCAGCCCGAGGTGGGGCATGTGGGGACCCAGCTTCCCTGTGCCACAAGCATGTTCCCCCCTCAGTTCTCCTTGGCACAAGCCCACGCATGACATCCCCCTTGCCCCATCGGTGGCTTCCTGTCCTCATCCCAGACCTGTTCCCGGGCAGCGAGCCCCTCATTCCCCCCAGTCACCCCGGTTGCTCGCTCGTGTGCATGTCCCCCCCGTGCCACCCTGCTCCCACCTTCACCATGTGCCTTCTGGTCTCTCCCACCACGCAGGCGCCGTGCCGGACTCCTGCCCCATTAACATTGAGGAATAGGTATGAGACACCCAGAGCCTGTGCCCGCCTCATGCCCGGTCACCCCGGGGGTTTGGTGCCCCTGGCAGTCCCCTTGCTGGGTGACACCCCAGCCTACCCTGCAGCCCCCATGGGGTGTCTGTAAGTGCCCTTTTACTGGGCATGGGGGGCAGAGGCAGCCCCCCTCCATTTGGGTTGTTAAAACCCGGCCGTGGTGCACTGTGCTTCCCATTTGCCCCTCAGCATTCCTGAGAAATCAGAGGTTTAAGGGGCTCCCCTGGTTTGGAGAGGTAAGTACAGGCACCCGCTAGCCCTCACTGCAGCTGAAACCCAATATGGGGGGCTGGGGAGGTGGGTGTCCCTTGGGGAGACTGTATTGCACCCCATGGGAAGATGCCCAAGGGTGCCGTGGCTTTGGCAGCCCCTAACCCCCTGTTTTCTCACCCCAGGCCCAGAGGCAGCCAACAACAACGTGCGGCTGCAGCAGGCGCCCCGGCCCCGCTGCCCCCCCGGCCCCCAGGACCTGGAGCAGGCAGCGGCCACCCCTGTGTGAGGGCTCAGCCTCAGCCGGGGCACACGCACCCCCTGTGCATGCAGAGGGCTCCGGGCACCGCCGGCATCGCCACCTCCCTCCCCGGCTGTGGCGGGACTGCTTTTCCAAAGAGAAGATGGTAACGGGGGCTTTTCCTGCCCGGCTCCGCTGTGCAGAGGGGGGCCGAGAACCGCATCACTTCAGAGCCCCCCCATCAGCACCTTCCCATCCTCCAGCCCTGATGGGGATGGGCTGGGGTCCCCTCCTGCCCCCAGCCATCTCACACCCATCCCCAGGCCTCTCTCCTCCAGTGTGCAGAGCACATGGGATGGGGTCACCCCACAAAGGGGGTCCTGGGACACTGTCAGAGGTGGATGATGCCCAGGGGTGCAGGTTAAGGATGAATGTTGGCATTGGCATCCTCAGTACACAAGCCAGTGACCTTCATGGGGGGCTGGCACCCCCCCAGGTTTGCTGACCCCATGCTGTGGGATTGTCCCCATTGTGCACTGGTGGTGATGGTGCCCCTGGAGCTCCCCGTCCCTCTGCTCTCCACCCTGGGCACGTGGGCTCTTGGGCCTGTCCCAGGAGGTTGCTTTTCCCCAGGGGATGGAGCGGGGTGGACAGGGGACCTGGGACACTCCCCCCCCGGTCACCAGCCCCAGGGACATGGCCAGTTTAACCTCACTGTCTTCCACCCGCTGGGGGCGCGGGGCTGGGGCTGTGCCCTCTCTCTGGAACAAGTGCCAAACGTGTCACCCCTGGCCTGCCCTCTCCATCGCACTTTGTAGCAGGGCGTGGATGAGGGTGTGGGAGCTGCTTCCCCATCCCTCCATCCCCACTCCTCCAGCCCCATCCCTCTGGCCAGCCCTGGCCTCCCTGCATAAGTGGGTTTTGCTCCGGGAGACAGGAACACAGGGACAGCAGTGGGGTAGGGGCACAGCCACAGAGTTCGAGGACCTGATGGAGCCATTGGCAGAGGCCAGGCTCCACTCCAGAGAGCAGCAGGAAGAGGCAGAAGGCACCCTGAGGAGCATCAGACCCAACACCGCAATCCAGCAAGCTCTGGAGCTGTTTGAATGAGCCCAGGGGGGAGGTTGAGCCCCGCTTCTTCCCCACCTGGTTTTCTCAGGCAGATGTGACAGCAAAGGCCACCTCTTCTTTGCAGAAGGAAGCTGCATCTCAGAGCTCCCTTAGGACAGAGATGTTCATCTACTGAAAGCAACATCCCCCAGCATGCAGGGAGCACGTCCCCACCACTGTCCCTGTGGTGCAGCACAGGCCATGCTGATGGCTGTTGCTGCTAAAGGGAGATAAAGCCCTTTTTGGGGCTGGGAGGTGTTTGCTGCTCACTTCATGTCCCTCACTTCCTAGTGTGGGTCCTGCTGGAGGTGGGGTCAGCACTGGCCACCCTCCTCTGCTCTGGCGCCCCACTGACTCCTGTAAGCTCAGCAGCTCCCAGATTCCTCCCTGGAAACTCAGGGCTGGGTGCTTGATGGGGGGAGACATCTCCATCTGTGGGATGGGAGCTGCTGCCACTGGGGAACTGTGGTGGGGAAGAGCCTTGCAGCCATTCAGGGGCATGGTGTGTGGCCCGTGGGGACACACTGCCCAGTGCCATGGTGGGGCAACCCATGGGGTTTGGGAGTGCTGGCCCCAGGAGCCAGCAGCACCATACTGGGCACAGGGAGAACTTTAGGGGTTCACTGCCACACTGAGCTGAGAGGACTAAGGGCGCTGTGGGAGGCTGGCTCTTCCCTAACCCCCAGCATGGAAAAACCAGGATGATGCTCCAGGGGTGGCTCAGCTACCAAAGCCAAACCTTCCTTGTGGCTTCAAAGGGGACCAGTAGAGCTCTCCAGGCCTGGCATCACAGTGTAGGGCTGTGGCAGTGCTTGTGGCTGCTGGCAGGTCAGGTCAGGTCCTTGCTCAGGAGGGTCCCTGGAAGTGTCCTGGAGGGTTTTCTGGCTGCTCTGAGCTGTGTGTCCCCAGGGTAGCTCTCGGGGTGGCTGTCCCATGTCCCATCCCACAGCTGGTGGCATGCACATGGTGGTGGAGAGGAGCCAGGAGGAGCAAGCAAAGAAATGAGCATCCTCCGCCTGTGGCACAGGAGAGATGGGATTTGAGTGCAGGTGACACCAGTGCTGTCCTCAAGCCACACGGAAGGGACAAGGGGCAGGCAGGAGCTGCTGGTGAAAGGCAATAGCCCCTTGTTCCAGTGATCCAGCTGTCAGGGATTTAGGGAAAGAAACCAGATTGCTGCTGCTGAACTCTGCTTTGAGCATGTTTTGGATTTTCAGAGTATGTTTAATAAAGGGCATCTTATGTCAACAAAGCATCCAGAGTCCTTCCGTGGTGACAAGGTGAGAGCAGCTGGAGACCTGGTGGGTGGAAACACTCTTTGGGTGGGAGCATCCACCCAGGAACCTAAAAGCTTCCAAAAAGGTCCCTTCCATCCCCCCCTGCCTTCCCCAAGCACTGTGAGGATGGAGAAGGTGCAAATGCAAACAAAGCCTCTGCAGGAAGGGGCTGGGCTGCGGTGTGGATGGCCAGGCAGATGGTCCCTGGCACTGCTGGGATGGATGAGGACACCCAGAGGAAACTTTTCCTGGAGAAGAGCTGGGTCCTCCTGCAGGAGAAATCTCTCAAGTACGGGGGAGGAAAACTCATGCTGGGGGCTGATACCTGAAAGGTGAGGAGGGCCGTAAGGGGGGTTAGAATGTGGTTTGAGTGGAGGGGGTGAGGCACAATGGGGGAATAATAGAAGCATGGAATGGTTCGGGTTGGAAGGAACCTTAAGCCCCATCCAGTTGCACCCCCCTGCCCTGGGCAGGGACACCTTCCACTTGGCTGCTCCAAACCTCGTGCAACCTGGCCTTGAGCACTGCCAGGGATGGGGCAGCCACAGCTTCTCTGGGCACCCTGTGCCAGTGCCTCAGCACCCTCCCAGGGAAGAGCTTCTGCCTTACATCTAACCTGAACTTCCCATGTTTGAACCCCTCACCCCCTCTCCTGTCACTACAGTCCCTGTTGAACGTCCCTCTCCAGCATCCTTGTAGCCCCCTTCAGACACTGGAAGCTGCTCTGAGCTCTCCACGCAGCTTCTCCAGGCTGAACAGCCCCAACTTTCTCACCCTTCTCCATACAGGAGGTGCTCCAGCCCCTGATCATCCTCGTGACCTCCTCTGGGCTTGCTTCCGCAGCTCCATGTCCTTGTTATGGAAGCACCTTGCAGCTGCTGGGGAGGGCTTGAGGTGGCCAGATCCTGCAAAGGGAGAGGAAGAGAACTGAGGCCTGTGGGGCTGTGCCTGGGCTGCTCAGGAAAGCCCTTGAACTCTGCCTTACGGAGCATTCCTACAGGAGCAGGTCTTGCTCCCGAGGGAACTGACTTGTCCAGAGGGCAGGACCCAGAGCTTTGGGATGGGTGTTTGCTGGATATTCACCCCTGAGAAGTGGAACAGAAACTTTCACTCCCCTGGGAGCTGCCTCCTCGCTCCTCCAGCGGGGACGGGCAGGGGCAGAGGGGAATCTGGGGAGACGCTCTGACACCTGCCTCCCCCCCAGCTTGTCCTGCCCAAATCGCTGGGGATCCTGGCAGGAAAACCACTTAATGTACACACGCTTCAGCCCTCGAGAGTGAGTCTGCCTGCTCCCAAACCCCCTTTCCCTGTGGGCAGACACAGGAGGGGCCTTTAAACCTCCCCAAGTCCCCCACTTCTCAAAGGGCAGAGTCTTGTGCTGTGGGGTGGAAACAGGCTTCCCAAACAGGCTTCTCTTGGGATTCACGGCTGCTCCCTTCCCCCTTGGTCAGGGAGGGGGTCCCTCACTGGGATCCTTTGGGCTGCTGGAGGAGGGAATATTGAGATTTCTTATAGAAGCATATAGCTGTAATAATTGTAACTAAGAAAGGGGGACCCCTCCCTTTAATCTGGGGGGCTGCCAGCCCCCTGTCAGCTTTGCTGTCATCGCTGTGGGTCATCGCTTCAGGGGTCAGAAGCAGGATGGGGGCACAGACAGGAGGAAAAAGGATGGGTCTGCCCCCCTGCCAAGCCGAGGGGGGTGGCCCGGATACAGTTTTGGGGTGTGCTGGTGCTGTGCTGGGGTGCGGTGGAGCCCCGCAGCATCCCTGGGTACCACAGACCTGCCCACCTCCAAACTGCGAGCATCCCCAGCCAGGCCTCTGGCCCCTAAATGGCCAAATCTCAACCTAAAGGGGCGGGTCCCCTCCGGCTCCCCATGACAACGCGGGGACCAATGGCAGGCCCGGAAGCTGTTTACGGGGCGGAGCGTCACCGTGACAACGGGAGAAGCCTTTCGGAGCGGCTCCTTAACGGCAGCCCCCGGGGAGCCGGGAAATCACGGCGGAACCGCACCGCCACCGGGCGGGAGAGCGGGACCCGCAGCCCCCCCCAGACGCATCTCGGCACCGCCGCTCCGCTTTTCTTTATGTTATTTTTCTCCTCCTTTTTCCCTGTTTTCCCCCGATTTTCCCCAGTGCTTTTTGCCCTCCCGTGAACTTCGGAAGCTGCGGGGACATCGCCGGGCCGGGTAAGAGCTGCGGGGTTGCGGGGGGGGAGCGCCCGAGGGTGCGGTAGGTTTGCCCGGGGGGGTGTGTGGATGCGGCTGTGCTGTGTCTCTGTGCCTGTCTCTGGCTGTGCTTATCGTCCTGGGATTTACTCCCATTTCCATCCTTTTTACGCCCCCCAACGCACGAACCGCAACGAGCGCCTCCGGTCCCACTGACCCCGCCGCGAGCGCAGGGGCTAGGGGGGGGACACTGGGACCGGAGCATCCCAACCCGTAACCGCTGCCCCCTGAGCCTTTAGCTCGGGATTGGCCGGGGGAGCCCGTCTGCTTGGAGCGAGGCCGGGGTTCCACTGTCCCCGCCCCCCGGTCCCGCGCCCCGTCCCGCGCTCCCTGCGGCCGTTGAGCAGAACCGGATTCGAACCTTGCCGAAGCCGGTGCGGTCGCGCCGCTGCGGGTCACACAGGAGAGGTTCCTCGGGTCAGAACCTCAGGATTTCGGGGGTTCGAGCACAGCAGCGAAACCAGACACTTGCTCCTGCCCTGGCAATAACCGGCGCTCGAATCTACCGGCTGCTCTGAGTGAGGGTGTGCTTGGGGGAGAGTTCCAGGGGCGGGTTAGGAAGGCCAGGGGAGGGGGGCAAGCAGCAACAGCCCAAACCCGAGGGATGCTGGTGGTGGGGATGGTGATGGTGATGGGGAATTGAAGATGTTTTGTCGAGGGTTTGGACCTTGAGGTTTTGTCCTGCTAGGGGCAGATGGAAAAGCATCCTCCCTTTGAGGGATGCAGTTTGTTGTTTAAAGGGGGTGTAGGTGTTATTTATATATAAATAATTATAAATATTAATAATATTTAATTAAATATTTATAAATATTTAAATAAATATTTATAAATAAGTTTTATATATTTTAAATAATTTTTTATAAATGTTTATTTATAATTATTCGATTTATAATTAAATATTTATTTATTTAATTTATTTATAAATAGATGTGGTTTTCAGCCCAAGGCTTGTGCTGGGACACCCGGACTTGGGCATGCTGGGGGGGGGGGGGGGGGGCTGTGGTGCAGCAGTTTGAGGAACCTTCCCCGAGGTTCAGGCCTGCTGAAGCACTGCAGGGGAGTTGATGTGGCTGCAGCACGCAGCACCCTGGGGATGGGGCTCACCCAGCAGCACCCAGAGCACCCAGGCCCCAGTGCCAGAGAGTGGCTGCACCTTGGGGAGTCTCCAACTCTCTCCCTGTTGTTGCTGCAGGATCTGCACCATCTCCTCCCTTCTGTACCGGCACACACTGGAAATGCAGAACCCAGGGCAGAACCAAGGCGTGGCTGACGTGTGGTCCAAAGGCGTGCGGGAGAGGAGGGAGAGATTAAAGAATGGCACCTTGGCTGCGTTCGATGAACTGGATGACAGCCTGACCAGCCTCATGTGGCTCCCGGACTTCTCCATCACCAGTGCCAGCGTGGGCAAGTCCTCCTGCTGCCTCACTGGGCCGGACCACCATGGCTATCATAAGATCCCCAGCTTTGCTGCCCCGTGCTCACCCCTGGCCGCTGACCCGGCGTGCATGGGCATGCCCCACACCCCCTGCAAGCCCATCTCTTCGTCCACCTCCAGGACAGCACACACCACCATAGCCTTGAACCCCCAGTTCAGGGAGGACATTGACTACAAGACCAACCCACAAGTCAAGCCGCCCTATTCCTACGCCACCCTCATCTGCATGGCAATGGAAGCCAGTGGGAAACCCAAGATCACCCTGGCTGACATCTACAAGTGGATCACTGAAAATTTCTGCTACTTCAGACATGCTGATCCCACCTGGCAGGTAGGAGATCTGGAGACCTCTTGCCCTGTCCCCTCTGCTTGCAGGGCTGAAGAGGGCTTTCCACAGCCTCCACCATTGCAAGGCAAGGTCCCACTGGGATGCTGGATCCCACTGGGAGGACAGCTGGTGGGGAATGGCTGTAATAGGGGCACAGAAATACCACAACCACGAGGGCAGCAGAGGGAAGGAGCCATTACAGGGGAGAACCCAGGGCCATTTGGGGAGCAGGGAGGTACCTGCTAGTCCCTGCGACTCCTCTTGGCTCTGGCGGGAAGATGTCTCTGTCCCTGACTCCACCTTTCAGCATTCTTGTGGGGTCCTGAGTCTCTTGGGGCTGAACACGTGTGAAGTCACCAGGGTGAGTATCTCTGGGTGCTGAGGACCAGGCGTAGCAGAAGGATGGAGAAGACCCTTGGGGAGATGCTGCTTGCTGGACAAATCCATCCCTGAGGAGGTTCAGAGCAGAAGTGCTGCTGCTTTCCAAGCAGGGCAGGTCTCCAGTCCACCACTGTAAGGGAAGCCCAAGAGAGGTTAAACAGGGCTGCTGTCTCCAGCTAGCACCAGCATGTCCCCATTAGGTAGAGGAGAGCCTCTGGGCTCCCCAGCTTTAGGGACAGCCTGGAGCACAGGGGCTTTCTCAGCCACCTTGGCTCACTGCCTTCCTGTGTCACACGAGGGGACCTCTGGCATGTGTGGTTTGTAGGATGCGGCAGGGCAGGAGGGACCTGGTGGCTCGTCCCTCTGCTCGGGTTATTCCCAGCCCAAATCCACAGTGTGCCAGTGATCCTGGCAGTGCTGTTACTCAGGCAGGGCTGGGCAAACCAGCCCACCTTGTCCTCAGGCAGGGGGGTCTCCAGCAGCTCTTGAAGGCCACCATGGAGAAGGGTCCCTCTCCAGAGCCACCCCAACCTCCCCTGAGCTGGGCGGACGCTCAGGAGGAGGAGCTGTGCCAATGTGTTGACTTGCTCCTGTGAACCCATGGATAAATACCCCAGTTTTAATTAAATGTGTTGATGAATAAAAGAAAGAAGGTTTCCAATCCCTGCCCAGAGGTGCAGGGGGGGCACAGCACTGCTGCGGGCAGGAATGACAACTATGCTAACCAGGGAGGAAGGCTGGAGGAGGTTTGGGATGAGGAGGGGAGATGGGGAGCAGAGAATTCAGCCTGTGAGTCTCTGAGCCCTGTAAAACTCAGTTAAGCTGTAAATCTGGAGTTACCAGCCTGCATTGTTTCAGGATGTCTGTGTCCTGCTGCTGCTTTCTTCTTTTCCCCCTTTCTTTATTTTCCTTCTTTTCTTTTTCCTTTATTCTTCCCTTATTCTCTCTTCTTTCCCTTTTCTCTTCCCTTTCTTTCTGAGGCTCTCTTCTCTTCTCATTCTCTCTCCCAATTCCTGTACTGAAGACAGCCTGGAAAGGTCATGCCACCCATCCTCCAGGGGGAGATGGATCTATTCCTGTGGGAGCTGAGTGCTTTGGAGAGGAGCCAACACAGCCGAGGAGCTTCAGCCCAGAGGAGGGTTTAGTTGTGTGTGTGTGTGTGTGTGTGTGTGTGTTTTTCACCAGCTCCAAGCATTCAAGCCTTGTTTTTCCTCCTCGGCACTACGGATTATGGGTGAATAAGCATAAAGATATCCAGGCAACATTAGGGGGGAAAAACCCTCTACCATATCCAGTCTCTTAATACAGTCTTGGCTTTGTGGAGCCCAATGCATGGTTATTTACCCAATAACAGTTCCCTTTCTGATTCTTCCCATCACTCCAGGCACATTCAGGGGTTCAGAACAGCTCAACAGGAACAGAAATTCCTCTATTTCTTTTTTATTCCCAATTTTGACCCTCCCTCAGCCCATTTGAGCAGTGGCTGATGAAGATGCAGTGATTCCACATCAGCTTCCTTGGTTTACCTGCCTGGTGCCTAGTTTTTGGCCAAATATTTTCCCTTCAACACTAGCAATAGGCCCAGAAGAACGGGGGAATGGAAGGAAGGCCCTGATGATGCCATCCCCCGTGGGGCTGCCATGTGGTGCCGCTTGTCATGGGGCTGTGATCACACTGGTGAAAAGAGCCTCCTCTTCTCCCTTAGCTGTGAAGGAGGACCCTTAGCGCCATGCCTAGAGCAAGTCTGGCCAGTTTCTCCCAGTGCTCTGCATGATCCAAAGCCCCATGGCCTCAATTTATAGCCAAGGAGAGTTGCCCAAAAGCTTCCTGTTGGTTGGCAAGTCCCAGCTTGAACTCCTTGGCTCTTCCCACCTCTGGTTGGGTTAGATAGGGGACAAGAACACTGCTGGTGACTCAGGGGAGTTTCTGCTGGCCATGTAGCCCAGGATGCCCTGATGTTCCTGATTCTGCCTTCTTTTCCCCCAAGGTCCTTGCTGAAAACACATTTGTCCACCCATCTCCCCATGCAGGTAGGTGCCGGGGCAGCTGACCAACATTCAGCCTCTTTCTCTTTTTGGTTCTAGAACTCCATCCGGCACAACCTCTCCCTGAACAAGTGCTTCATCAAGGTGCCTCGGGAGAAGGGGGAACCAGGGAAAGGGGGGTTTTGGAAGCTGGACCCCCAGTACGCCGACCGGCTCAAGCACAGCGCCTTCAAGAAGCGGAAAGTGCCCCCGGTGCAGATCCACCCCGCCTTCACCAAAACCACCCAGCAGGATCCACCCTGTACCCCCAGCTCATCCCCTTCGGTCTGCACCTCCAGTAACATCCCCAACACCCACACGGAGTCACAGCAGCTGCTGGAGGAGTTTGAGGAACTCAGCAAGAGCCAGAGCATGAATCCAGGGGGTGCTGAAGTGGGGTGCAAGCGCAAGAAGCCCCTGCCCAACCAAACGGCCAAGGTAGCTCGTGTTTGCAGCTCTCCCTTGCTGACCCAGGAGGAGCAGACAGAGCTGGGGTCCCTCAAAGGTGACTTTGACTGGTCAGCCATCTTAAATGGCAACGGCAGTGAAAACTTACCAGCTTTTGAAACTCTGGAGCTGCCACCTCCAATCGGCCCCATCATAGCTGATGTGGACTTGGAGGCACAGGGCCCCATCGACTGTCCCCAGGGGCAGGAGCAGGCCCTCACTACATATAACCAACCCAGCCCAGAACTGGATGAAGCCTTTCTGGCTGCAGCTTTCTTGGACAACCCCTGGGATGAAGGCACAAACGACTGCCTCTCCAACTGCGTCAACATCGACCAGCTCTTTGAAGCCTGTGACACCTCTTTGCCAGCAGAGGAGGGCGAATGGAGCAGCCTCACATCCCTTGTATAAGACACCAGTCCCCATTTAAAGCCCATGCAGACTTTGTGCTTCCCCCCCTCAAAATGCTGCTGGGACTTAAAGGGACAACATTTTCTAGAGACAGACACATCCACAGTGACTTCTGCCACCTTTTAAGATTACACATAAAAACATCTAGGGGAGGGGGGATGAACCACCATCACAGGAACTGTTCGGTACATCATTAAAGGACACATCAAATAACTAATTCATGAGTTTCCTCAAGAGAAGAATTATAACAGTACTTATTTTTTTACTTTTAAAGAAATGTGAATTCTCATTTGGTTTTATCCATAGAAATGGACATCTGTTCCTTCAGGGCTAAAGGAGAAGCACCTGCTAAATGCCACCCAAGACATGAGATTCCTGGTGGCTTAGGGCTTGACAGAATAAGTGCAATTTCCTTACCTTTTTTCCTCGCTGTTTCTCTCCCCTTGTTCACAGTAGTTGATAGGTACCATATATAGCAGCCAATATATGTCCCTTATGGCTTCTGGAGTTCAAGCTCCCTCCTGACTTGTGCCTAGGGAAGAATAAAAGGTTTATCAGTTCACCAAGGCTGCCTCTTTAGACGGTTTTATATTATCTATTCTATATTAGATAACAGAGAATATATTTTGGTGTGTGTTTGTTTTGCCGGAAGATGGCGGCGGTGTTGGCGGCCGCCCTGCGGGTCCGGGCCCGGTGCGGGCCGCACAGGTGCCGCTGCTGTCCTGGCCCACGCCGAGGGCCCTGTGGTGGTGATGGCGGGAGGGGGGGGGCGCTGCGGGAGCTGCTGGGCCCGGCCTTGGAGCGCGGGCCCCGCGCGGTGCTGCTGGTGCTGGAGGACAGGCGTGGAGGGGACGTCGAGGGGCGGTTCTAGGCCGAGGGCTGGGGGGCTCGCGGCTCCTTCCCGCGGGCCGATGTCCATCGCCGGGTCCCCGCTGTGTTCCGGACGCCGGCGTTCCTGGGTCCCGGCTTCCGGCGGCCCAGGAGCGCGCCTGTTGAGCTGCGGCGCCCGTTCGGGCTGCGGCGCGGTGCGGCTGGGCCGTGGATCTCTGCTGCCTGCCCCGTCAGGAGGGGAGGACCTGCAGTGCATTGAGGAGAAGCACAAGCGCACCCGGGATACTTTCCGCTCCGTCGTGCAGCGCAGCCCAATGCCCGGGCAGGGCACTGGGGGGTACTGGAGCCACAGGGGTGTATTTGGGGTCCCTGGGGGTATTTGGGGTCTCGAGGGTGTTATTGAGGTTTTAGGGGGGTATTGGCTGTTTT